GTTGACAAAGATCAATTGTGAGACTGTGAGACTGAGGAATACAGGAAGTCATCACTGTCACAGAAATGGGACATTGTTCTGGGGACACCCAAGCCTGTGATGGTCAGACAGCAGCCCTGGTAACTTGTAGCAATTCTTGGGGGTGGGAGACTTTTTTTCATAGCAGGACCTGCCTTTCTAAGGTGCACCATTGTGGTGACCCTGCCAGTGGCTGTCCATCTGTTGCTCGCCCTGCCCTTGACCAGTCTACTTTCTTAGTCCTTATTTTAAACTGCCCCAGAGGGATGAGCTGATGAGTTGTTCCCATGCCATTGGCACAGGCTCCTACGGGGCTGCCCTCCGGAGCTGGGCCGCAGCTTCACAGGTCCGCCTGTGCACAGCTGTCTTTGGTTCAGCTTCCCATCCCAGTCCAATTGGGGAGGTCACAGTAATGGCTCACCCCGGACCCAGCCTGTTGGTAATGAAATCATGAAAGGAGATGGCAGGTTTACTAGGTCCACTGGGGGTCCCTGAAGGGAACACAGGAGCCCTGCAGTCTGAGTTCAAGCTCAGCAGGCTGGGACTCAGCTGTTAGCAGCATTCATGAGGGAGGTGGTGCACACAGTTCCTCTTTTTTCTACTCTCTTCAGTGTTTTGAGTACCTTGAATCTTAAGATTCTAAGGCAATAAATTGTGCCATGTAGTTCTGTAAATAAATTCCACCAGACAGGATTTTCTTTTTTAAATGAGAGAGTCGTCATGGTTTCATAGGAATGGTCAGGAAGAGGAAGTGATTCCAATTAATGTGTTTAAGAGAAAGAGTCTGAAGATGGATGGCTTCCTTTCTGTCCTGCTTCTCACAGCCCCGATGTCTGTGGGCGAGTCTGGAACCAGCTTGGGCCTTGATTTCTGTGTCACCAAAATGAACAAGCTAGATTGAAGAAAAAAAGAAACCATTTTTGTGTTTTGATGCATTTTGTTGAATTATCATACTTGTTTTTAAGGCTAAGTTTATTGGATATATTATTTATATATCTTCTTTCTAAATGGGCAAAACTGGGAAACAAAAGGGTAGGCTTTAGCAGTAATACCCTAATATCAGTAATATTTTTTTATTTTGCACATGAGAACAAGAAGCACAAGAAATCACTTAATAATTGTATTATAAATCTATTTGTATAGTAGAGCTCGTATTTACATTGAATAACATCATCATTACAAAAATGAAGACAGGGAATAATTTCCCGTATCTCATAAAATATAAAATATACCAAGAATCTAGGGATATTAGATTTTAAAGAAAGAGTCTAGAGTTTAGTTTCTGGCATATGGCAAAGCAAGTATCCTGAAAATCCTTTCAACTTGAAATACTTAAAACTAAGGAGTAGATATATATAGTTTATGGTTTCTTAATAGTACATAGCAGAAATTATAAGAAAGTAACAAATTCTCAGAGACCAATCTGAGAGCATGAACCCCAAGGAATGTGTGAAAACTAGAACTGCTCGAAGACTATTTGCCTTCCTGCTAATCTAGACCTTTGGTTCTAACAGCAAATCTTAGTTTGTAGAAGATGATGGATGATCAGATTGGAGACTCCAAATGAAGTTAGTATTCAAAGGGCTACATTGTTGGTGAAATGGAGAACTAGGAAGAAAATAACTCACCTATATGTGGAGGCTCATCTCTCCTGACCTGACTCTGGGTGGAGGGTAGAAAGAGTGTCTCTGAGAGTTTATAACCATAAACCGCTACCTGTGTGGTCTTAAAAACTCCCAGCCAAGAAATTTAGATTGTTCGCTTCGTTATTAGTGTCTGCGAGTGCCTGCCAGAAGCAAAATGTCTATTGTCTCTAGAATAATGTACCTTAAACCCAAGACTTCAAAGAATTTTCTCAGGTAGAGTTCAGGTCACAACTGAAAATCACAAAACACATGAGAGACCAGGTGTTAGGAGCACAGTGAACTGACTTAAAGTTGGATCTGAAGCTACTACTGTGTTTTACCATTTATAATGCACACTTTTTTTACCCATATTTTTTAGGGAAAAATAAGAATGTGCATTATACATGGGTATAATGATTACATATCATGGGTATAGTAATCCTGAGTATAATGCGTACAAAAATATAGGTGCGCATTATACATGGCAAAATACGGTAGTTAGCATGTAATTAGGAAGTTCAAGCAATAAAAAATGTGAAGAAGTAGTTCATTAAAGGTCTGAAAGATTTAGAGAGACTAGGGAAAGAGGCATTTTTTGAAGATATAATGATTGAAAGTTCATGTCAACTATAGACATGGATCCTCACTTTGGAAGAAGCAAGTGTCCCAAACGGTATAAATCCGAAGGGTGTCTATCCCTAGATGAGTCATAGTGAAACTATAAAACACTAGGAAACACTTGAAAAGTCTGAAAAGCAGCCAGAGAGAGAAAAAGACAGATTGCCTACAAAAGAATGACACATTGACAACAGACTTCTCCATAGCCACTGGAATTCAGAACATCTTGGCAGAGTAATATCTGCCAAGCATAGAGCCAATCATAATAGACAGGTACCCTAGGCACAACTTTGGACAGTAATTTTACAGGAAATTAATAACATTCCATATTCTATTCTACTGTTTTCAAAAACCGAGCATGGTAGGCAGAATAACAGCTCCCCAAAGATGTCTAGGTCCTAATCCTGGAGGTTGTGCAGATACGATAAAGTTAAGAACATCAAAATGGAGATCATCTGGGTGGCCCAATGTGACCACAAGGGTCCTCGTGGGGGAAACAGTGAGGACGGAGACTCAAAGAAGAAGGTCTAATGATAGACTCAGAGGTTGGAGTGAAGGTGGAAGAGGATCATGAAACCACACGAAGCTGGTGGCTTCTAGGATCTAGAAAAGGTGAGCAGATCTGCTCCAGAGCCTCACAGAAGAACACAGTCCCACCAACACTTTGACATTGGTTTACCTGAGATTTCTGACCTCCAGATTCTAAGATGGTAAATGTATGTTGTTTAAGCCAGTAAATTTGTGGTAATTTGTTACAGGAGCAATGGGAAATAAATGCAGTAGCTTTATTGAGGTATCATTTATATACCATGCAATCAGCTTGTTTAATGTGTACAATTAAATGGTTTTTAGTATATTTATAGGGTTGTATAATTGTAAAAATTTTTGAAAGGCTGATCAAAAGCATGTGAAATTGAAAAATCTTTGAATTATATGGCGCCCTCCTTACTGTGCTAATTTGAATAAAGAATGCAGACGTGTTCAGGGAGGTTTCCTGGGCATTACTGATGTGTGATTCCAGAAACCCCAGGACTTAGAAACCTTGGCCTTTTCCCCTTGCTATCTTAAGTAGGCTAACCTTTTCTTGTGACCCTTTTTGCTGCATTTCTCTTGATGGTGTATAAAATATCTATTTGCTGGCATTCAAATCAGTTCTTTCTTCATTTTAGCTATTAAACATATAAGTTGTTTTAAAAATAAATTTATTGAGGTGACATTGGTTAATAGGATCATATGCATTTCAGATGCACATTTCTATGATACAAGAGCTGTATATTGTATTGTATGCCTACCATCCAAAGTCAAACTGTCTTCCATCCCCATATATTAGGCCCCCTCCACCCCCTCAAACTTATAAATCTTAAACTTTGAATCTGTCACTAACTGTGAAATCCTCTGTACAACTAAGATAAGCTTCTTGATGAACTAGCTCAGATGCCACAGCTGAAAAATAACAACACTCACGACAGACCAAGATGGATAGTATTCAGGTGATGAAGTGATGTGTTCTCGGGCTGAAGAACTTTGACAGCTTCAAAATAAAACCATGACACAAAGTCATGTAAACATTACTTGACTCACTGGCAAAAAAAATCCCCAGAAGTTTTTGGAAAGTGTGAATGTTACTCCTTAGGCGCTGTGTGTGTGTGTGTGTGTGTGCGCGTGTGTGCGCGTGCATGCCTTGTTCATTTAATCTGTCATGAATTTTCTGCAGGACTGACTACATAAATTGTGAGGCAAATGCAAATGAGTGGCCTTTGGCTCAATATTTATCAAAGATTTTAAGATTGTGACAGCTGACCATACACCCAGTGTGCGGACCTCTGAGCACAGGCCCTGTGTGACTAGAGGGCACACACCAGGAAACTGGTTCCTTTCTTCAGCCCTTACCCACTGAGACTGACTGAGGATTAGGATGAAGAGCTCCTGCTTTCCAGTTTCACCTCCCATAAGCCTTGTTTCATCCTTTTTGAAAAGAAATTTAAAATATTTTTTATTGTAAAATACACAAAATTTACTATCATAGTAACTTTTAAACTTTTAAGTGTACAGTTCAGTGATATTAAATACATTCACATTGTTATACAACTGTCCATCTCCTTAAATCTTTTTATCTTGCCAAACTGAAACTTGACCCATTAAACAGTCCGGGAAACTGTCCTTCTACTTTGTGTCTCTATGAATATGACTACTCTGGGGACCTCATATAAGTGGAATCATACACTATTGGTCCTGTTGTGACTGGCTTATTTCATTTAGCATAATGTCCTCAAGGTTCATCCTTTTTATAGCATATGACAGGATTTCCTCCCTTTTAAAATAAATGTTTATTTATTGATTTGGGGGTGGGGCAAAGAGAGAGAGAGAGAAAGATACTGAGATTGAGATTTGTTTTTCCACTGGTTTGATTCCTGTATGTGCCCTGACCAGGCATCAAACCTGCAACCTTGTTGTATGGGGCAACTCTCTAACAAACTGAGCTACCTGGCCAGTGTGGACTTCTTTCCTTTTTGAGTACCCACCAAACTGTTTGCCACAGGTTTTATATTTCTACCAGCAGTGCACAGAGTTCCAGTTTCTCCACATCCTCACTAGCACCTGGTTTATTTTCTGTTCTTTTGGTAGTAGTCACCCTTGCGGTTTTTATTGGTATTTCCCTTCTGGTGAGGGATGATGACTTTTTTTGTTTTAAAATTTGCATTTGAAAACTCACAGTGATCATCCTTTCCTTCTTTATAGAAAAGACATGAAGTTGCTGGAACAGTCAGGTTCTCTGAAAGGCTTGCTCAGTGCAGAACAGCAGTTGTCACTAATCACTGGTTGCTCGAATATTCAAGAAGCAGTAGAGGGCGCCATGCACATTCAGGTGAGTTAAGGACCTGTGCTGGGTTGGTAAGAGCTGGAAGAGACAGTGTTCCTACCTCCTTAGAAGAACAGCGGAAGGTAAAAGGCAGTTAAAATTGTGGATCTCTTGTACTCCAAAGGTCAGAATTATGATATTTATGTGACAGGAAACATTATCGTTTATGGGTTCTCTTTAAACTACTGGGATGATGTTACCGTCCAGAGCTGTTAGGATTTTGAACAAAACAGATTTTCTGGACAGCTAACACTTTTATCTTCCTACTGAACGAGAGATTATATTCTTTTTAAAAATTAAAAAATTACAATTACAATTTACATTCAGTATTATTTTGTATTGGTTTTAAGTGTACAGCATAACTGAAAATTTGGGTACAAACCCAAAAGATTGAGCACACATGTTTTGTTGTTAGCTGCTGCCCTGAGATTCAGGTCAAATACAGGAAATCTAGGCTGTGGACTTTGTGGCTCCAAAATTTCTCCTGTGTGGCGGCTGTGGTAGAGAATACATACTTTAAGGCAGGTGACTGGGCAATTTTGCAGCTCTGTGTTGTGTCTTAATGTCTGAGCCTACTTCCTCACCTGTGAAACTGGCATCGTACCCTATGCACTGGGTGATTGTGAAGGAACTATCTTTCATGTCTAAGGGGACCCTGACATAAGGCAGGGCTCCATTTTTCCAGTGGGAAGATTAGAACAATCCTTTTTGGGGCCCATTTGATATGTAATATTTACATAATGGAAATGAAATACTATAATTACTTATATAATGTGATCTGATATATGAACATGTGACCTATTATGGTAATACTTCTAATTTCACATTTCCCACAAAAACATCCAGTTTTTGTACCCATTAGAGTTGACTGAGTCTTTTCTAAGCAGAGTTTTCCAGACAACATCTTTGCTTTCATCTAAGATGTTTGCTGCTCAGAGTTTTAAAAAATCCATATGTAATGATTGCATTGGAAGTTTTATCTTCAGCTTCAACTACAAATTCTCAGACCTGTAGGTGTTTTTTTCACTTTACAGCGGTCCGCCTGTGGGTTGTGGTTCTACAACGTAACAACTTGCTCGTACCTTTTTTTTTTTAAGTATATTTGTAAAGCTTATCTACAAATTTTGCAGCCCTTGAAATGGTCAAGTCATGCCCCAGGAATCATTAATATGCTGAGGTTAAATTTCTTTTTCTCCTGGTCCCATTTTAAAAAATAGATTCTGTCAGATGGTTTCTATACTAGCATGGTTGAATAAATACAGGCTAATGCTTCTTCCTCAAATAATCTATTATTTTTTAAAAAATGGAGACCCCTCTGCAATATAACTTTAAAATGACTTGAATATAAGTTTAGTCCTTCTTTTATGGAATAATTTTGGGGGAATATTCTAACTTAATAATGCATGGAAAATGCTTAGCACAGTACTTAGCACATAAAATATGCTTAATAAATTTATAAAATAAATTATAATGTAGCCATTTGTGGACAATTTTGGCAATAAATAAATGATATGGGATAACATATGCTGTTCTATGTGTGCTGGGTACTGAAGACTGCTCTGTAAGGCCAGATTTTACTTTATAGATTAAATTGGTGTATTTACTTACGTATAACATTTACCTGTTGAGCAGCTTCTGTTGTGCTGAGTCAGGCAATGTGAGGAGACTGGAGAAATAAGATGTTTAATTCCTGTAAAAAGATTGTGTTCGTCACAAATGGTTTTAAAAAATTAAAATTATAGTTTAATCTCTGTAAAAGAAGCAAAGAAATGGTTTGTACTTGTACTACCACAAAGCATGGGAGAGGCAACATGGGTTGGAGCTGACCTGGGCCTTTGACAGGTACATTTTGGAGACTGGGGTGAGGGCAGAGGTGGAGATGGTGTCTTAGAAGAGGTGCCTGTGAGTGTGGTCCACAGAATGTGGGTAGAGTGGCTGTTGGAGAGGTGGGGAAAGCTGGCGGTTAGGTGGAGCCAAGTTGGGAATGCTAAGTGCCAACCTGGGGGGCTACGGAGAGGAGATGAGTTAATACATATGAAGTACCTGGCATACAGCAGCACTATTTAAGTGTTCTCTTAAAGAAATGAGGAGTTTGTGTTTTATTCTATATCCTGATTAGAATTCTCAAGAAGGAAGGGAAGAAAAATGGGAAAGAAAAAAAAATTGAGATTTCCTTTTCGTTGCCTTGACTGATTTCTTTTGGGCATGGCTACACATTTCCTTATATATGACATGCAGCAAATTTGATTTTCCAAATTTTACAACAAATGAATATTAATTTCACCTTGTTTATCAAACAAGCATATAAGCCCCCACAAATCAAAGCCTACCTAATGGTACACCATGTGTTTGTTAAATTATATCAAGTTTCTAATAATTCAGGAATGTTAAAAATATATTTTAAAGAAAGAAAACCAATAAAATATACCTAAGCCATGTGTGTGTATGTGTGTGTGTGTATATATGCACACATACATATACACATATGTAAATATAAAAATAAATAAATAAATAAATATATATATATATCTATATATATAGAAAAAGTTTAGGAGAATACTGCTTAGGTATTATTCCAAAAAAGTTTGGATATTTTTGTGTTTGTACTTCTTTCCATTTCTCATGTTTATTTTCTCTCTTTCTCTGACATACTTGATGTTATACTGTTTAAGTAGAATTTCATATCAAGGATTTTGTTTAAAACTTAGAATATTTCTTAGAGCATGATTTGCCCAGGACTCTGTCAGATAGAAGTATAAATTTTGGACTGAAAATAATTGTTATATTTATCATGAGATGTTATACCTAAGAATGACATTAAAGCAAAAAGACCAAAAGACCACAGTCACCTGTCAGGCATCTACTCCTCACCAAGCCTTGTAAGGCTTCCTCATCTTAGTGCCCAGAGACTCCTTGCTAGTTGTACCCTCTTACCAACTCTTAGAACTCCTTTTTATGATTTATAAAAGGAAAAATTCTCATTGTAGAAAAATAAATTCTTGGCTATTTTGGAGACATTTTTTGTATGAAAATAAAGTATCATTACTCTAGGGAATTGTTCAAAAGCAGGAGGCAGATCTTGTGAGTTAAGTGAACAAAACCACATTGCTGCCACTGCTCCTCAAAGACAAACAGTCCAATTGTAGATGTTACTGCATCCCCAAGGGTGCAAGTCCCAGAAATGTGAGTGTCAGTCTCCATGATGCATTTGTCTTCTATCTAAACCCCAGTGGGCAGGAGCATGGGTTAGAATTTCCTAATACTATGCTGAAATGTGGGAGCGTGCGAGAATGAAACCTGAATTGCTAGAACTCGGTGCAATGTTGAGATCAAATCTTGCCAGGCAAGAAAAGCTACTGCTCTGGAAAAATAAGTTTATTCTAAAAAGCCTGTCTAAAGCATTGACTCTTAAAGAGCATTAAGGCTCATTAGCTTTGGTACAGAGACTTTATCTAATCTCTGGAATTTAAGACTTGAGACTGCGGTGGCTGGTAGGAGCCATGGGAATGTTTTATAGTATTATGAAGTTTAAGTGGTATTTCATTACATAAAATCAGGACAACAGCTGAAATCTAGAAGTACAAATTATATTATCCATGCAGGTGATCAGAATTTACATCTGTACTTTACCTTTAAAATTTTAGAAAATGCTAGTCATTTTGATAAGGACTTCAGACTTTGTCAGTAGTTATAGGAAACAGTGTTCGTAAACACTAACATCACTTTAAAGTTTACACTTTTGTTTCAAGGATGGAAGTTTGGTAGACTTTCGTCTTGGTTCACTGAGGCTCAGAGTAATCCTTTTTTTGGTAGGATGGGCGTGCATGTGGAGGTGAGGGGTGTTCAAGTAGCAAATGGCATGTGTGATGCCAGCCCTGAGAATATATAGAAGTGTACATGAAAACTTGAAACATTAAAAACTTGTACATTAAAAAATGCACATAAAAAGTGTACATTTTCCCTGTTCCATGTGTTTTTTAAACAAATTATAAAATCCGATTTGCTGAGGTATAATTTACATACAATAAAATTCACCAGTTTTATTAGTGTTCGGTTCTACATTATGACAAATGCATGCAACCCTGGAGCCACCATCATTTTAAAGCTTTACAACCCCCCGCTTCTGCCTCCCCTGGCTTCCCCTTGTGCCCTCAGCCCCCTTTGCAAGTAATGTCTTTTCCTCTTTCCCTAGGCCTCGGCTATCCCCAGTCTGTCTTTTGGCCCCATAGTTTTTCCTTTTTCATAATTACCATGTTTTCCTTGGTTACTCTATTTTGCTGTGTATAATGTGCACCCACATTTTTGTGCATATTATACCCATGGTATATAATCATTATGCCTATGTATAATGCGCATCCTTATATTTCTGTCAAAAATTTGGACAAAAAAGTGTGCAGTATACACAATAAAATACAGTATACTAAATGGAATCATACTATATGACGTCTTTGAGTTTGGCTTCTTTCACAGAGTAAAATGAATTTTAGGTTCATCTATGTTGTGGTTATTAGTAATTTGTTTCTTTTTATTGATGAGTAGTAGTCAACAGTTTGTCTCTCCATTCACTAGTTGAAGAACATTTGGGTTCCCAATTTTTAGTAATTACGAATAAAGCTGGTGTAAACATTTGTGTACATGTTTTTTAAATGGGCATTTGTTTTTATTTCTTTTGGATAAATACCTAGGAGTGGAATTGCTAGGCATATGATAAGTATATATTTTCTTTGTAAGAAACTAGAGCACAGTTTTCCAAAGTGGCTCTACCATTTACATTCTTATTTGCAATGTATGCGAGTGTCAGTTGTTCAGCATCCTGGTATTATTAGAGTGGGTTCTTTCCTCATTCTCATATGTATTTAGTGGCATCTTATTGTGGTTTTCATTTGCATTTCACTAATGACTAATGACATTGAGTATATTTTCCTATGTTTATTTGGCATTCATATAATCTTCTTTGGTGTAGTTTTGTTCAAATCTTTTGCTTATTTTTACAAAATTGTGTGATT